TCTGTGTCCAGCCCTTACGTACATCTGCGGGAATACTACTTTTCTGAAGAAGCATCCAATATATTTGAACAGAAGAAAGCTTCTAACTACTAAACAAGGAAACGTGTCTCTGGAGGTATATTTTAGTTGACGTTCTGTCCCTCTTTGTTTTACATTTTGAGTCAGTCCATTTGAAGCAGAGCCTGTTGTGAGCCTGTTTACTTCCATTTATTTTTCTTGACGTAGCACAGAGAGGAGGAAAATGGCATTTCAGCCTTTTTGAGGGGCTATTTATGCTAAGTTTCCTATCTGAGACAGTAAGTGCTGCAACTATTCTTTACAACCGTGTTTTTCCATTCTCTTACATATGGAACCCCAAGAAGAGCTGATGAAAGCTATGGCTCTTATTTCCTAGAAAAAAAAAATGGATATAAAATGTTGAAAACAATTTTTGCAGTATCACTTTTTCCTTGAAGTCCATCCAAGAAGCGCCCCGGTCCCTGGGCAAGAGGTTGAGAGTCCCTGCTCTATAAAGACTGATTTTCTAACTGCTGTCTTTATGTCTTTGATTTATGCTTCTCTTCTCCAAATCAAGTCAAGACACTGCACTTCAGTAACTGATATGATGAAAAACTCAGCACATGAGAGAAGACAAGAGATACCATAGGCTTATGCTTTGCCAAACTTAAATCTGAGTCTGATATTTTGCCAAGGCCAAGTCTTACACCTCGCATTTAGAGTGTGGTTACACAGGTGATTCCAAAGAACATGGGAGTGGGCTGTCAGCAATCACGGGCCCAGACCACTCAAGGGTGGGCCTTTATACTTGCAGTTTCCTCGGCCAAAAACACTGTTCCCCAGCATGGCTGCTTCAACTGGTCTCAGTTCACGTATCACCCACACAGAAGAGGGTCTATTCCTAACAATCTATCTTAAGTAACTCCCTCACCAACAAAACTGCAGCACATTACCCTGTTCAGTTTTCAAAGTGCTTACCATCACCTGAAATTATTTTCTATTGCTGTTTTTCTTTCTTGCTAAACGTATGTATCCATAACCAGAATATAAGTTACAAAGGAGAAGAAATTTTTGTCTGCAACACTCTCCACTATATCCCCAGCATTTAGAAGAGCAAATGGAACCCAGTAGGCAATCACAAAATATTCTGAATGAATATTGGTTATCCTATCATCATTTTGAATGAGTGAATGTGATAGTTCCAAACTGAGGGTCAGAGGTATTTTCATTACAGATTTTTAAACGTATACTTTAATATAAGTTTGTAGCTTATTATGGATATTTGAAGAGCTGTGTGCCAAACCTAACAAGGTTCCTGAATGTTTCTAAATGTGCAATTGTCACTATATTTCTGCTGTCATTTTTCACAGGTTTCCAAATGCGTCATAAAATATTATTGGGTCAGGGACCATACAGGCCACCAGATGGTTGAGAATGATTTATTTCCTTGATTTCAGACTACTGAAGAATGATTGCAGGAAGAAAGCCAGTTTTTATCTCTGAGCTTACAGAATATGAAAGATAAGAGAGACCTTGTGGTTCATCTAGTCTGGATTCATTCTTAATTTAAAAAACCATTCTACACTACCAATGACATGGTTATCTGACCTTGACTCCAATATTTTTAGTGATGAGACACTCGTTATTTTACAAGATAACCTGTCTCACAATTGGACGGATTTTGATGAGCAAGGTCTTCCTTCTATTGATTCAAAATTTCCTTCCTGTAACTTCTGGCCCTTGGAGCAACAATGTGTAAGTCTAGTTCCTGTTCTGAATTATGAACTTTGAAATATTTGAAGACATCTCAACTATCTCCCTTCAGTGCTCTCAACTTCTGAATAAACATCCCAAATACCTCCAGCTGTTCCTCACTTATTTCTCCCTTTAGAACCCTCATCTTCCTACTGAAAGATCTCTGGACACACTGTAATTAGGAAACATATGTTCTCCAGGGCAAAGTGGAATTATGTCTTATTTTTAATTATAGATTTAATTGTACTTATGCCATAAAACTACTATATGATCCTCTTTTGTAAGTCAACTATGCATATAATTGCATACTATATCATTACCAATATCAGTATATGTTATTAGTTGTAAAATCCAAAGCAGGTTACTCTGATGTAATAAGCCCCCATCTTAGCTGGAACTCTGTGTCTAAAGAACATCTCATGGCTGACAATGCCAGCTTACTATTAAAATTCTTTAGATAAAAATATGAGAAATTTTCAAAATAATCTGGGCTATCAACTTGCACATGCACAATAGTATGGCTTGTTTCAATTTCAAAATTCATGGAGCAAGCAATTATAGATAGCCTGAAAGTAAAGCATCCCATTATAAAGTAGTATTATTAGTAAAAACAATCTAAGACAAACTAGTAAAGATGAACTGTATTTTTACAACAATAAAATTATATTAAATGTTTAATGAAGGACAGTCTTCAGCTAGATAAAGTAAAACTGAAGAGAATTAGTCCATATTCAGACTTTTTGGGAAGATCTGGTAAGTTGATCTCATGATCAATAGTAGTTATAATCATAGCATCAGTATTAATCCCTAAAGCAGATACAAATTATATCATAATGTTGTGGCCCAATAATTGTCCATATTGACTTACTACTGGTAAAAACTAGCAGATGGACAATTCACACTAGGAAATTTAGTAGGTTTCAATTTACACATCTATACTTCTACCTGTACTGCAGCCATCTGTTCTTTTAATGTCTAATAGTGAGTTATAGTATATTTGAATATCCATAATATATTTCTATATAATACTACCTCAGAAATATTAGTACTGTTTTCTGTTTTATGGAATAAGCAGGAGTTTGCTGCATTTATTAGTTGATGATTGCTACTACAAACACTAGCCAATAGTTAGCTTTCACACAAAACAAAAGAACTAGGTTCAGTGCCATAATCACTGAAGAACCTACAGACACTAACCCAACAACTTTCTGTTCAATAAAGTGTATCTTGTGTATTCGTTTTCATTCAAAGCCAAATGTTTCTAAACAAAGTATGTATAAAACAGTAACATCCAAACACAATGCTTCTCAGCAGTGTGAGTATGACAAAAAGTATTCTGATCATCTTTTAAAATAAAAAGCCTGAATTATTCAATTGTTTCCATAATCCTTGTGATCGGTTGCATTATGTCCTCCCAAAATTCATATGTTAAAGAGCTTAGTACCTCAGAATGTGATCTTATTGGAACGTAGGATTGTTGCAGATGTAACTAAGATGAGGTCTGACTGGAGGAAAGGGGGCCCCTCGTCCAATATGACTGTTGTTCTTATAAAAAGGGAAAATTGGGAGACACACACACAAGGAGAACACTATGTGAAGATGAAACAGATCAGGGTGATGCTTCTAAAAGACGAGGAACCGGGAAAATTGTCAGCACACCACCAGAAGCTAGGAGAGAAGCATCAACCCTGCTGACACCTTAATCTTGGAGTTAGCCTCCAGAACCCTGAGACAATAAATTTACGTTGTCGGAGCCACTCAGTTTGTGGGACTTTGTTATGGCAGCTCTAGGAAATTATAACAGTTTTTAAACTCCTAAAAAATACTTGGCACTCTCCTTTGGGGCATGCCTTCAGAGTCCAAAGCACTTTATTTTGGATATCTTTAAATGGTGACATATTCTTGTCCTCTGAGATATGAGTAACAGCCCAGAGTTACTCATATCTAGGACATGAATATAATGGATCACTTGTGTAGGTGGTACAGCATTCTTTTAATTAATTACAACATCCAAATTAATTAATTTACAATATAAATTGACTGCCCATCTCAACAACTGCTTTGGCAGACAGTCTAAGAGATGCTTTGAATGGTAGTATTCCTAGGGAAAAAAAGTATAGCCTCCTAAGATAACTACCTTGAAATATATCAAAATGCATGTATTATAAATCCTGATGTAGTTTGTGTTCATTCTTTATAGCCCTACTATATATACATGCTTTATATTATGAATAGTGTGAGCAGCACCTTGTGATACCAGGTACTTGACTAAAGATGTATCTGGGGAATGATCCCAACCCCTTAGCCTAAGCAGTTTCCCTTCTGTCTGATTCACATTTTGCATTTCCATTCCAGATAAATACTGCCTAACAAAACTTTCTGTGATGAAGGAAATGTCTTATATCTGCATTGTCCAGGACAGGGGCCACTAGTCACAAGCGGCAGTTGAGCACTTGAGATGTAGCTCGTGCAACAGAGGAATAGACATTTAATTTTCATTAATTTTAATTCAAATGGTCACATGTAGCTATTTGGCTATCGTACAGGACAGCGCAGTCTTAGATTTTAATTTGAAAATAGAATGTTACTGCTAACAAAGTTTGAAAATCACCAGTAAAAATGAATGAATAGGAAAACTTCTCCTAAAATGGAGTAACTGATTATTCTCATCAGTTCTCCCAGAAAACACAAGTATGTACATTTCTTGGGCACATGAGGATTGACTTTACTGCCAGTGAGCATAAAACTTAAATCAGTGAACTAAAACTGGCATCACTAATCATTAGCCAGCAGGGGGAGCTGAAGAGTAGCACGGTAGCATTTTCTTTGGAGTGGTTCTTTTTTCCCTTCTATGTGTTGGTGGTCTATGTGGAGGCTCTTAAAATACATATTCTGTCCAGGAACTCCACACCCTGCATTTCTTGCATATCCAGTGTGAGCTACATACTCTGCCTGTGTCTGTTTCACAGGATTCCCAAGCAGTCAGAACTTGATTCAAAACAAAACAGTTCAAAATCCAATTAATTACAAAACGTGGTCTTTCCCACTTCCCTTTGTTAAAATGTGATTAGTGTTTAGATTTTTATATTTTTTTAAAGCTTTCTTCTTCTTCTCCCCATATCAGAGAAAATGTTAAGGCCTTTTATATTTAGACAGAGAAGGAAAATTTCATTGGCATATTGTTGATTCTTTAAAGTTATTCCTAAGAAAACATTTATCCATAATAAATTAACCATATATGGCCTTACCTCTTGATAAAGGTCACTGAGATCTTCCTGGTGGGCCTGTTTGGAACATCCTGGGAATTCTCTAACACAGCAGGAATCTGGGGGCCAGTCCATCTCTGTCATTTCCAACCAGTCAGTGAAATATACCACTCCACAGCACTTAAACTGAAAAAAAAAAAAAAAAAAATCACTAGTCAGCCTCAGAAACCACAAAACTATTTTCTTAACTTATAGGAGATTAGACATCCGTTTTTTTAAATTTTTGTACCCAGAGCTACATCTGTCATCACCTAATGATATGTGTACAGTCTGTGTTGATGATAGAAATGTAGTAAAGGAACACCATGGCTAACCATTGCATAATGGAAGAATTCTGAGTAATAATGCCCATAACACATCAAAATAAATCAGGCATGACTGAGACTCACTCCCTAGCTGTAAGCTTGTCTACAAGGGACTATACATAGCAACAGACTGAACATACACACTAACAAACCCAAGTAGGTGACACCTTATCTTTATCATTAAACCTCTAAACACCAAGGGCCAGTTAATCAAATTTTTCTATTGCTCCACATATTCAAATATTATATTAAAAGTTTCTGTAATCTTTGTAAAAACATGTGTCGACCAAAGCCCACATCACAAAAAGTTAGCAGACATCGATTCCTCAGCTAGTAAAATATCCAAAAACTTTAAGAAATAAACATAGGTCTGGCCAACTAGTGTTTATTCAACTAAGGTCCTTGAAATAAATGTTCATATTCTATTACCACAATCTCAGAAGAAATGGTGTGCCCTTAGCTTGAATAAAATTGGAGTTAAGAAAAACTATATTGACATTTTTTCTTTTTTATCTCATTTCCCCGAAGATTAGCAAAAGCTTTCTCTGATCAAGGTTTGAAAGCACTGCTTAAGGACCTCTATAGATTAGATTCAGAACAATTATCTATGATGAATAATTTTCTGTCCTTGAGTAGAGAGGGAGGTTGCTCTTTCCCCTCTAGCCAGAAACAAGGACTATGGGCAGTCACCGAGAACTCTGCCGAGTGACTGGCTATGCAAATCATGCAGTCCAACAGATCAATCTATGTTCAGGTTTCACATTGTATCATAAAATATCACAATCCCCCACCATTTCAAAATTTAACTAAAATTAATTTTGAAGAATTCTGGACTTCTCATGCAAAAGGAAACAACAAAAATACTACAAAGTATTCTGTGTTGTTACCCTGGTCTAAATGTCTGATTTTTAAACAGAAACAAAATCACCTTAAGAGGATTATAAATGATGAATTACTGAACAGTATGGGTAATACGAAAATTTTGAGAAACTTAAAAAATACTTTCCATATATTTTTCTTCTTTAAACTTGCTCTCGAAGTCATGAGTATACTATCAACATCACAAATTTAGTCAATAATTTGACGTTACATATTTCACACAATCCATTAAATATCCTTAAATAATATATGTAGTATAAAGACTTCACTTCATAAAAATCATAAACAAGGAAAGGTTAACTTTCCACGTCCATCTTTTTAAATCCTTACACTCAGAGAAAATTCATTTCTCTCCTTTGCTAATGACATGAGTCCTTTCTGTGTTGATGACAGAACAGTTCTTGGAACTCTCTAACTCCATCCAGCATGGAACAGCCTATTTATATGGCTGTGTCAGGGAATGAGATATTCTACATAAATGACTTTCTCAAATATAAGTATATAATGTTCTTTCTTATTATAAGTATATAATGTTCAGTGATGAACTTATTTTTATTTTAGTAAGTATTTGTATAGAATTGCCCATCTTCAACAGAAGATACTGAATTTATTCTGAAACTTTTTCTGAGAACTCCTTTAAGTAAGCCCAACATCATACCAAGATATTACTGTAGTCTACATCTCCTTGTCATTTTCCTGTCTCCTTTAATATTGTGTTGTGAGATAGTACCACTCTTGCTAATGTGTCAAGCTCTAGAAAATACCATCCATTTTACATATGAGTAAACTGAGCCCTTTGACGGTCAAGTAGCTTGCTAAAATTACAGGCCAGAGTGTGGCACAGTCTGTTCCAAAGCCTATGCTCCAACTACTATGTTAAAATAAATAAATGAACACATTTTTTAAAGTTAGTATTCTAAAAAGGTATTAAATAAACGCCAATGGGGCTTAAGTGAGAGTCTGCTAAGTTGAGGTACGTGCACAGAATTGCACTGAATGAGGAGCAAAGGAAACCGGCACCTGATAAAGTTGCTTTCTGCAATATAGGTTATCCTAGAATTGTGTCCCCCACCCAAATTCATATGTTGAAATTCTAACCCCCAGTACCTTAGAATGTGACTGCATTTGGTGATAGAGTGTTTAATAGTGATTGTTAAGTTAAAATAAGGTCATTAGGGTGGGCCCTAATCCAATATGACTAATGTTCTTATTCGAAGAGGATATTTAAATATAGTCACATATAGAGGGAAGACAATGTGAAGACACGGGGAGAAGATGGCCATCTGCAAGCAGTCATAGCAAACTAATACAAGGGATTTAAAAAACTCTTTCACGTTCTCAGAGGTCTTCACCATCTCCATTTACACAAAACAGTCTTATGATAATGGAGGAGGAAACTTACCATGTAACAAATCTAAAAATAAGTGTGCTATCTTTTGCAGTACTTGTACATTGTCCATCTAGGTGGAACTCCCATCAGAAAAAAAAAAAAAACTCACTTTGTTTTTTAACCTGGATTATCACTGTCTACATCACAAATTCCAGAAAATAACAAGCTCTGGGCAGCATCTACTCAGGACAGTAGCTGACATAACTTACTATAAATTTCCTAATGCTTATTTTCTCTTTGTGTTGTTTTTAGCACAAATATACAATAAATAAACAAAGCTAGGAAGCACTTAAATAAACAGGAAATCTGTGTTACAATGATAATTTTTACCATCTCAACAGTTGTATACAGAGAGTCAGATTTGGAGATTGTCCTGGACTTGAACCTCTGCCCATATCCAGGACAAAGCAAGTGAGCAGAGATCTTGCTATCTCTCATGTAAGATATTAATTCTCAAATGCTTTGCAGCCTAACACTAAGATAAATTAAAGGAAATTAAATACTTATCCATCTGGGAATGTCACTTCAATCACAAGGAAACTGCTTGGAAGAAGAGCTTGGTTTGAAGCAAGATCAATGGTTAACTTCAAGTCACCTAAACATCTGAATACAGTCCCCACTTGAGAAGATGGTTGGGTGCAGTGCTACATGGCAGTTAGGTAAGAAATGCTAAAAGCACCTATACTTTGTAATGTTATTGTTAATAACCATAGGCTAAATGAAATCTAACTTATGACATCGTTTAATCTTCTCAACAACCTGAAGAGATAGGTATTTTTATTATCACTATTTCACAGGTGAGAAAACCAAGACTTAACGGGGTTATGTATATTATAGAAACTCACTTAATAGTAAGCAGCACAGCTATGATTTTAACCAAGGTCTTTCTGACTAGACCATGCCATTAACGATATACTGACTTCAAAGTCCCAAATGAGAACAATCCTTTTTTTAAAACTAAAATTATGTTTAAAATATTGAGAGTTCTAAAAGTCATGAAAAATCTATTTGTCTGGAACTTGGATATTTATCAAGTTAACCCTCATAAAAAGAAAACTTCACAATAATTTAGCAAAATGGCTTTTCAGAAGTTCTTAAATATATGTGAACCATGTGAAATAAAGGGGAAATGGTATATATGGGAGGAAAATCAGGCCATGAAGTTACTTGAGATATTTTTCAAGAAAGAATTGCACTGGAGGTTACTGAATCATAGGCTTAATTTTTCAGCACAGAGGAAATTACCAAAGTCAAAGCTTTAAACATCTGGTTTGAAAGTGCACCACTTACTTCACTCTCTCTACCTCAGAAATTGCAGCACTTACCTCTCTCTGAAAAAAATTCCAAGCATGAGTAAGCCACCGATATCTAGGTAATCCATAATTTGTCATCCTGGCTTTCAAAGTGACCATATCTGACCACTGTACTGGAACCTGGTAATAAAAAGCAAAATATCAACAGCTATAACACACACACACAGACACAGATTCACGCACACACACACACACACACACACACACACTCGGAATGTCTTATAATTGACAAATACTATTTTAAATTTATATTTGCTTGTGGCCTAAATTTAGCTCAGAGTATTCAATGTAGTTTTTGGACAATCTCAGTGTGTAGATTTTTGTGATAAATGATTAGGTATTTTGTACCAATGAAAAAAATGAGAAATCACTTTAATGCTCAAGGAAATCACAAACAAGTAATTAACTGTACATTCTACAGACATACTGAAAATTTTCACATAACAAATAACCTCTGCAGAGAAATGCCCTTAATTTGACTTCAAAATGCTATGAAGTTTTTGCTCTTTTAAGCAACTGCAGATAATAGTACTAAAACAAAGGGGAAAGAATTAAAAAGGGAAAGATTTTGACTCAAGTTAAGCCTCACTCTGGGATAATTTTGTCAACACTTTTTCAAAAGTTGTAATTAGGAGGTATATTAGAATTTAAGAAAGAACAGTTCTCCACTTTTACACTGTTGGTGGGAATGTAAACTAGCACAGCCACTATGGAAAACAGTGTGGAGATTCCTTAAGGAATTAAAAGTAGACCTATCATTTGATCCAGCAATCCCATTCCTAGGTATCTACCCAGAGGAAAATAAGTCATTATACGAAAAAGATACTTGCAAACTCATGTTTATAGCAGCACAGTTTGCATTTGTAAAAATGTGGAACTAGCCCAAATGCCCATCAATCAATGAGTGGATAAAGAAAATATATATACCATGGAATACTATTCAGCCATAAAAAGGAGAAAAATAATGGCATTCACAGCAACCTGGATGGAATTGGAGACCAATATTCTAAGTGAAGTAACTCAGGAATGGAAAACTAAGCATCGTATGTTCTCACTCGTATGTGGGAGCTAAGCTATAAGACACAAAGCCATAAGAATGACACAATGGACTTTGGGGACTCGGGAGGAAGGATGGGAGCGGGATGAGGGATAAAAGACTACACATTGAGTATAGTGTACACTGCTCAGGTGATGGATGCACGAAAATCTCAGAAATCACTGCTAAAGAACTTATTAATGTAAGCAAATACCACCTGTTACCCAAGAACCTATTGAAATAAAAAAATTAAAAATAATAAAAAAGAAAGAACAGTTCTTAAAGTATTTCTGTGCTTCTATTCTCCAATCACCTAGCACCATGTCTATTGCAGAGTATTTAATCATGACAGAGCTTTAGGTATACAATACCACAGTCACTGTTGTAATGCAATACAATACAACAGTCATTGCTGGCCAGAAATCTGGTCAGTATATCAAGCTATGATTTTACTCCAGGGCCATGAGAAATGGAGGTATACAAATGCTAATCTCATTACATACATAGTATTAAAGCAACTCTGGGAAACTGGATGGACATTCCCATCTGATCTATGAAGTAATATAGACTGGGCTTAGTAAAGCAAGCTTGACATTCAATAAATAACACAAAGATCAAGAACCAAAAAGGAAAAAAGGCAGACATGAGCAAATAAGGCTCCAACAGAACTAGAGATTAGGATTATTATAAAATCTTATTTTTTAAGATAATCATATCAATAGAAGCAGTTTCAAAATTCCTGACCACAGAAATTCTTCATTTTTTTCCTTTGTTAACTTTTTTTTTTTTTTGATTACTTGGAAATATACAATAAAACATCCAAACACTTGGCCACACATTTTTTCCCCAAATAATGAGCAAAATGGGTGTACTCTGTGTTCATATATGCCTTCAACAAGGTTCAGGGAACTAGTCAAAGTTCAAACTATTCACCATAAATTAGTATTATCTCATAACCCTTTGGGCATAAAATAAATGGAAGTGAAGTAAATTATCTAGAAATGTACAATCTGAAACTATATCATTGATGGATTTTATCTAGAGAAGGAATAATGAATAGAAGGTGAATAGTATAAAAAAACAGAAATGAGAAAGCAGATTATCTGATGTCAAGTCACTTGATTTAGTTAATATATCAATTTTTTAAAACTTTGCCTTCTAAAATAAATACAGGTTGTTTCCTTATTGTGACCACGAACAATCTGAGACCAAATGTGGAAGAAAACAGAGGAGATCATTGAGGTTCTGGCACAAATACTGACGTCTGGCCATAAAGTAACACACAGGTTGATTGGTTCCTTGCATGGAACAGCTAAAAGCACAAAGCCCATTCTATGTAAAGGCTGGGTTCTGCAAAATTTGGCAGATAATAAACTTTAATGGTACTTTTCATTCACACTGCTATTAGTGCAAAAGCAATAAAAAACCTGACAAACTTTTTTTAAAGAACTGCTTTTACATTTCACTTTTAAACAGCCCTTGCTCCATTCTGGTGATGTAATGGGAAAGATTTGCAAAAGCAAAACAGTGATGCATGCCCTCAACTGGAATGGTAGTGGGCACCTATTTAGTACTGCAGTACTCAGGAGCTAATCGTAGATGGTCTCTTAACAGAATAGAAGAAAGTATCTAGGCCGGGCGCGGTGGCTCAAGCCTGTAATCCCAGCACTTTGGGAGGCCGAGACGGGTGGATCACAAGATCAGGAGATCGAGACCATCCTGGCTAACACGGTGAAACCCCGTCTCTACTAAAAAATACAAAAAACTAGCCGGGCAAGGTGGCAGGCGCCTGTAGTCCCAGCTACTCGGGAAGCTGAGGCAGGAGAATGGCGTGAACCCGGGAGGCGGAGCTTGCAGTGAGCTGAGATTCGGCCACTGCACTCCAGCCTGGGCGACAGAGCAAGACTCCGTCTCAAAAAAAAAAAAAGAAGAAGAAAGTATCTAAATAAGTATACATTCATTTCAATTTCTTCGTATTTCTTAGAATTACTTTAAAATCAAAACATTTCATTTCAACCATCTTAAGCGAAATCATTTTGAACTTGCTGTATCTTGGAAGATTTACCAAATATTAGTATGGCATATACACTCTAATGCCCATGTTTAAAATCCGCAAGAAAGTAAACCAATTGCTAAAATCCTTTTAATTACCAAACAGAACACAATAAAAAGCTGAGGTAACAGGATCTAGAACTAATGATAAGATATACTCTCTATGGTTTAAATGTCAAGGAGACACATTTATCACTTGAAAACAGAAAAAAATAAGAGAGACAATCTTTTGACCAGTAAACCACAGAAACGGATTCTCTGGAGCCGAGTACTTTTTCAATCCCCTAATAAAATTTCCAGGGATGGGGAGAAAACATGATTTTCAAAGACAGCAAACAAGTTCCTATATAAACGGGAGAGTTCATGTTAATAAGAGCTCTGAACTTTTTATTAAACTAGTTAGAATCTGAGCTAACTTTTCACCTTTTCAGGAACTCTCTACTTGCTTAGTGCTGTTGAACACTGGAAGCATGAGTGTCTTCACAGAGAAACATATGTGTGAGTGTGCCAAAGCATCACTGATATGTAAATTGGAGTGTGTAGAGTAGCCACTGGTCTGTGGTTACTACTCAGTATTCAAAACAGTCTCAAAGCACAATGGTAGATTCACCAAAGAATCTTTGAAGAGTATATCAGCACCAGAAATGACTTCTATTTTACTGTTCAATTGCCAAATGACTCTCTTCACTCTGAAACAAATACAGTATAATCTCTGTCCCTTCTAGAGAGTGACTACATTTTAAAATGTTGAAGACGTCCTAGGGAACTTGTCACAGATGCAAATGCCCAGTCCTTGCCCTTTCCTCCCTGCCTTCCCCTCCATTCTGACTGAGCACATCTGGGCTGGAGCCCAATAATGCACACTTTTAAGAATCATCCTGGGTGGCTCCTACTGCAGATGGCCCAAGAGCTACACATGGAAAAACACCATTTTACTAAAACAGAATTACTCTACAAAGTTTATGGGGAAAAAGTCTGGCCTCCCTCGACGAAAACAAAGAGCATTCACAGACATGCAAAAGCGTTCGACATCACTAGCAATAAATGCAGTAATTTCCCTCAATGAAGTAAGCAAATGTTAATAAGTAATAATACCCAGTGAGTGCAAGGGTGAAGTGCAAGTGGTAAGTAAAAACATGACTAGTAAAAATCTTAAGACTGAGAAATTTCATGCTCATTTATGCTAGCTATAAAAGTTGTCCCAGCCATTTCAACTGCTGAAATAAAAGAGAAAAAATGAAGAGCTATATTCAAGTAGCCAAGTGTGGAACTGTGAGAGTGCTTCTAGATTGTGCTAACCACACAGCAACTCTTCAAATACACCTCTTACTTAAGGTGGAAAATGGTTCTGCCTGTTGCAAACAGGAGATGTAGGCTTCCTAGTCATCTGTTCACTATTGCAGTCAGCATTTTAAACGGCTTTATGTAGGTGTTCAAGAATTTTCAGACTAATCATTTGCGAATATGAATCTTTTCTATTATTAACTCCAAAATTGGTAAAATTATTTTAGAACATATACTATTTTTAGTCTATGATACCCATGTTTAAGCAGCCTGTGGAATTAAAGACATATACAGAGTATACCAAAGAAAATTTTACAAATTATGACTTGGAAATGTGCTTCAGACACAGAAAAGAAAGTGTTAGCTTTCAGAAGTATTGGGACTATTAACTGTTATCATGTAGCATAAACATTCAAATTAATAATCATGTGCCTAAATTACTCTAAAGTATTGATATGGTTAGGCTTTGTGTCCCCACCCAAATCTCATCTTGAATCATAATCCCCCTATCCCCACATGTCAATGTCAAGAGACAGACTAGGTGGAAGTAATTGAATCATGGGGGCGGTTTCCCTCATGCTGTTCTTTTGATAGTGGGTGAGTTCCCATGAGATCTGATGGTTTTATTAGGGGCTCTTCCCCCTTTGCTAAAGACTTCTCCTTCCTCCCACCATGTGAAGAAAGTGCCTTGCTTCCTCTTCACCTTCTGCCATGATTGTAAGTTTCCTGAGGCTTCCTCAGCCATGCTGAACTGTTAGTTAACTAAAGCTCTTTCCTTTACAAATTACCCGGTCTTGGGCAGTTCTTTCATAGCAGTGTAAAAATGAACTAATACTAGTATCTAATTTAAAAGGTTGAACTGTTGTTTTAGATTATGGTTATATCTATTTTGAACTCACCATAAGTTCCTGTTCATATGTCCAAACGCCACAAGCCAGTTCTACGCAGAAAATGACAAGCAAACTTCCAAAGTACTGTAGAAAAAAAGAAAAGTATGTTGTTATTATAGCACCAAAATAAAGTAGGCTCCTCAAAGACAAACTTGGTATTATGTTTACCTAGTGAACAAGAAAACAGAGGCGAGTTTTCATGACGCCCCTCAGAAGCAGATGGGGAAATTTTCAGCAAATTTAGAAATATCTGCAGATAACATTTAATATTCATCTCAGTGAGTCATAGTTTATTAGCCATCTCCTGAGAAAAATCTTTTATAAATGCCACTACTTTCATTAGGATAAATAAGAATTTACATGTTCTAGTCTGATAAACTTTAATCAAGTTCTCCAAGAAAGGGGACCTAAGTCCTTTCAAAGTGGACAGGGTGCAGTCAACAAGTTCAATGCTCTGCCCATGAGCAGATTTTAACTCACTCTTCTAGGCAATAGGGGTGGGGCGTCTCCTTTGCATTCTTAGAAAAAGCACAACATAGAACAAAATCTCAACCAGTGTTGACACTTTATATAGTAAGTTTCTATTATGGGGAAGGCACTTGGGATACAAAAGAATATCAAAATTCTGATAAGGCACGCATAGGCAAAAAATAACACAAAGTTTAATACAATGTCAAAAACAGAAATGGAGATAAAAATTCAAGATTCCTATGAAATAAGAGAAATATGCAGTGTTCCAAAAGGTGAAAAGGATTGGAACAAAGAAGAGAAGAGAGAATATGAGGTAAATAAAAGCCACGAACAAGTGTGCAGAGGCAGCTGCAAAGTCAAGCAAAGAATCAGGGAACAGGAAACAGATCCATCTAGCTGGAGTGGGGTGGTCAGAAAGAGGAATGAGAAGCGATCAAATGGGAAAGATGGACTGAAGCCAGATTATGGTGAACTTTAAATAATACACTAGTGAATTTTAAATCCATCATTCAGGCATTAAGGTAGCATCTTTCAAAGGTTCTGAATAGGGGAACAACATTATAAACTGATGAAATAAAGGCAAAGTTCTCAATGATTTGGAAAAAGGAAGTTTGCTAAGGGGGAGGGTGAAGATCCCTTAGAAGTAGCACAAGAGGAGGCATGAAGTGAGCAGCTGAACTTAGATGGTAGCCTTGCAAATAGGCAGAAAAGAATCATTTTAAAAGGTATAGGAAAAGAAAATTGACAAGGCATTAGACTCATTGAATTTAGAATGGAAGACAATGATGTATTTCACCAAAGCAGAGAAATTGGGAGGGGTAAATAGCTCTGTGGGAAGATAAAAAATCTAATTTTATTTGATTAACATAAAAATGTTTATCTAACTATCAGAAATGTAGACTCGGCTGAGTGTGGCGGCTCAGGCCTGTAATCTCAACGTTTGGGTTTTGGGAGGCAGGAGAGTCGCTCGAGCCCAGGAATTTGAAACCAGCCTGGAAAATATAATGAGACCCCATATCTACAAAAAGAAAAAAAAGAAGAAGCAAAGAAAATTATCCAGGCAGGGTGGTGTGTAATCCTAACACTTTGGGAAGCTGAGGTGGGAGGATCACTTGAGCCCAGGAGATTGAGCTGTAGTGAGCTATGATCATGCCACAGCACTTCAGCCTGGGTGACAGAGAGAGAACCTGCCTCGAAAAAAAAAAAAAAAAAGTGTAGATTTGAAGCCCACATAGCCAAGGATGGAATTGAAAACCATTATTATGATTAGAAAAAAACAACAACTTTTGGATAGTGCTCTGTTTATCAAGTACTTTCACAATTAATTCACTCAAGAATCCTGTGAAATAGATAAGGCTACCTCATTTTACAAACAAGAAAATTAAACAGCAGATAATGGGACTTCCACAAGAATGGGCATAATGAATTTGGGAGCACTGGATCACTGTAGCTGTGTTCCTGTGTCACACCTTGCCCAGTTGTGGTGGTAATTTTACAGAGGCAAGCCGCAAGTATACGAGAAAGAACAAGCTCTCTGAAAATCATCCTCACTAATTTAAAATGAAAACATTTCATTTCAATGAAAAACTAATTTCAGCAGGAATAAAACTTCATTGCAATTATGAATATTCCATTCTATTTACAGTGGGAGGTCAGGGTGGGAGTACCAGGTAGTGACGATTTGTGAATATCCTCCTTCACTGGACTGAAAGCTCTACTAAGGGCAGGTACTTTCTTGCATTCCTCATCACATAATAGGTGTTCAATGAGTATTTGTTAAGTAGAAGAATAAATGCAAACAAAGCAGAGTGGTATGATAGTGAGTAGGACTGGGAGCTACCTTGGACTGGGTGATCAGGGAAGGTCTTTTTATAAAGGTGATCTTTAAAATGAGTCAGTACAGACAAGAAAGAAGCAATGCTGTTAAGACTTCAGAAAAAAAGCAATCCAGGAAGAGGAAATACCAAGTGTGATGTGGCCTTGCATGGTGGGCTAGCTGGTTAAAAACTCAATGGTAACTGGCACACAGAAAGAGTGGGATGGGATACAGGGTATGCAAGTAGATGTTGTGAGGTGCAAAGAAAGCAGATCATTATGAGCCATGGAAAGGATTTTGGATTTTATTCTATGGGTAATTCAAACCCATTAGCAGGTGGCATGATCTAATGTACATTATAAAAACATAATTCTAGCAATTTTGTGAAAAAATGACCTGTAGAAAAGCAAGGTGTGATGAATCAAATAAAAGATTGCAGAAGTAGAATGAAGGAAAGAAGATGGAAAAAGTGGACTGAATTAGGATTGTGAGCCATCAGGATTCAAACTTAAAGTTTCTTTGTTTATAATATTTGCTAATAAAAGGGGGAGTGGAGTATAAGATACAGAAAACGGGGCTGATTTTCTACTACCGTAACACATCTCCTATGATTTAAAAATATAAATCATTGCTATTGTTTTAATATGGTTCCCTCCTATTTCTTTCATATGAAAAATAAAGAATACATAACTGCATAATCTCTCAGACAATAACACAGCTTCAAAATAACTGTTGGTTCAAAGGATAAAGTAGTACTTTGTTAAGGGGATCTCATTTTGCAAGCTACTTTTATTTTTGGCATACATAGTATTCATGGTCAGCTTTAATATACTCAGATATCATTTCAAAGTATTGTTATTTCTAGGCCTTACTTTAAAGATTTCAGCCGTAAAAGTATGATTAGAAGAAATGTTGTGAGCATAGTACTTCAAGCCAATTTTTCTCCAAACTTTCTTTAATGCTTTACTTAAGAGATTTCTAGACATAAAAAATACTATATTTGCATCTTATGTTACAAAGAGACCAAATGTTCAGTAACTACATACTAGATCACTTTTCTAATCTTTGATAAGAAAAGACCCTTAGAGACAGTGAGACTCCAGAGAAAAATTAAATTATGAGACATTTTTTGCGTCTCAGATTCTTAACCTAAATTCGTTTCATATTTGACGTCTGGCTACAATGAAAACCAAAGCATCCCTGAAAAGGCAAGATATGTTTATCAATAAAACACGGACATGGATGATGATTATTATTTAAAAAATAGGAAATTCCCAGACTTTGCCTTGAGGATAACCACGTAAATTTCTAGACAGGTTTTATAACCTTTTAAATCCTACTTGAATATTCTCTCATTTTCTGCCTCTTGGAGTCATTAATCAGTTCGCAAATGTAGCCCATGATTGGTACGGAGGGGCTAAGTTTCCTATGAGCTGGACGCTCTTAACTCTGGGAAAGCTCTAAAATGATTGTATCTTTCAGATTTCCAATGGGTTCATATGATGCCAGTTCTCTCATACAAAATAATTTTTTTTCTTTATTCCACTAACACTCAGGAACGCTGATTTGTTTGACTTTGAGGTTGAAAAGACAAGTTCCATCAACATTATAACACTTTCTTGGAATAAATTAAATTTAAAATTTGATTCAAATAAAATATTTTTACAAATGATGTTGCAGCTTCACGGTCAGCTGTCTTTTCTTCGTTGTTATTGCTGTAGCCTGAAACATCCAGTGTTCCAATTCCAAGGAAAACATTAAATGTCAAATTCATCCTTAATACAGGATAAACAGACCATCTGCATCTACCCCTAAATTTTCTTTTGTGGCGAGATCTCAGGCCTTGATAAAGTCATTCTCATACTGATTATTGCACTGAGAATCACTCAGCTGCTATTTAGTTTAAGAGCTAGATTTGAAGCATCTATAAAGCATGATGCTAATCCTTAATTTAATAACAAAATTAGCCCAGAATTAAACACAGCTCCTGCTGAGTTGTGTTATGGTATGAAGTGTACATCCATATCAATTTCACCACACAAACACCTGTTATCTTCAACATTACTGGGAACATGTGTGTTTCTCCCCTGATGGTGGCAGCAAGTGTTTCTCGTGTTTCTTGCTTTCCCAATGCATATGGTTTAACGAGATGGTATGTACCAGTCTAGTTTGCAGAGCAACTCACCCTATCTTCTCCTAGTGGGTTTTCTTTCTAGAACGATGAAAAGTGCTCTGAATTTGGAGTTAGATTTAAGTTCAAAGCCAGCTCTGAAACATATTGTGTGATCTTTAGCAAACCATTTAACTATCTTTGTGTCAGTTTGCTTATCTGCCTGATAAAGATAAAAAAGAACCCCCTTTTATAGTTTCCATCAAGGTTGATTTGATATATGTGAAAATGCTTTGGAAAATGGAAAGCATTGTAAAAAATGCTATTCTGTACTAGTCTGTGAAACAACATCCATAATGACTTGTCCTCTCTTTCCATACGTAGCCTTCATTCTCTGCAGTGTGCCGCAGTGTCTTCCTCATCATTGTTTTCCAGTATTTTACCTCTGATTCTTTATTTTATTACTTTTCTCCCTCCCTCTGTGTGTCGGGGTTTCCTTGTCTGCTGTATTTCAGGTCTCAGAGACTTTGGCTTGTAAACCACTTGGCTGCCCTACTCATAAGTCACAGTGCTCCCTCCACTGCCAGATCATCAGTTCTGGCTGGCAAGGATCTTGTTCTTAAACATTACTTTATCCCCATTGTCCAAGCAGCACCTGTCACACAGCAGGTACTGGGTGGAATGTCA